TCAGACAGATGATCTTACCAGGAAATATTCATGAGCTGTGTTTTTGTATATCAGATCAGGGTAAAATATATTGAATTTGTAACCTTGAACAATCTTTGAGGGTGGATTGTCCATATTGTAATGCATTTGACTATTTGTTCCATTCGAAGCTGGTATATACTCGATTGAAGTATCTCGGCTTTTCGAGTGGATATTTATCGGATCACAAATAAATCTGTGCTTCCAAAGACGATTCGACACTGAACTAAGCCTTGCGGATCCCATATTCCTCCATGCCTCTCTGTGCATCGCATGTTCCTCAGTAGTCATCACATTCTGAACCTTTTGTCCAGTGCTGAGCACTTGATTTCCCGCATATTCCAATCGCTGATTCTCGTCTTCTTCCAACGAGACTAGTGTTCCGGGATCAAGTTGAGAATATGGCACATACTTTGGAAAATATCCTCCAGATTCATATTCGCAGCACAATTCTGACAGAAGATCGTCAGCTGCATTAACAGTTTGTTGCTCCTCGCTGAAAACACATAAAACAGAGATATAAGTCGAAGGTTTTAAAATAATTTCTAGCAAAAATCTATACAAAGGAGTACACACTCTGATTGATCTTCTTCATTTGTTACTGTTGCCGAGATCACACCCTCGTCTTCAGATGATCCATAAGTTTCTTCCACAGGTTCGTTCTCTGTTCTCGAAACTCCTTGCTCGGCAATTAAAATTTCTAACTTCTTGCGCATATTTTCTCGATGCCGATATGTATAAGTGATAATATATCACAGGTTTTGTATTATTAACTTCTGCATTTAGAATTATATTAGAAAATACCATTGTCAACATTTCTAAACCAAAATTCTAACTTACTACATGTTTGTTACATGTACACAACTACTGTTATGTTTTCGAGTTTTGCAATACATTTCTTAACTTAATTAAATAGGTTTAATTAGAGATTATTTACAATGTTGCTCTTCAGTATGATAATACGTTTCACACACTACAATGTGAAAAATAAATTACCTTGGACTTAATGTAACAATTAGAGTGTAGGAACGAAGGAAATGAAACGCTCGTAATGAATCTAAAATACTTGCTTCATACCAGTAGACGTCACCTTTTATTATACATACACACACATACTCGAGTTAAATTATCTTCAGAAATATAATTTGAAAGTATTAATATTTCCGAAAAATACAACTTCGACACATTTAATTACTCTCTGTTTAATTACTGGGGATCCATCTTTTTGGACAAATCCACTAGCAAGAAATGTTACAGCTTGCCATGCTTGCGATCTCTACTCGCGCATCCGTACTCCTGGCGCACAGTGGTTTGGTTTGAAGAATTCAGTTCATGATTTCGAAATTAGATCGAAATTATATAAATTGTTTCAAATAAATATTTCACTAATATAATTGTCCGAATGAACTCTTTTCCGTCGAATATTTTATTCGAATAATGATTCTTCATTATCTCGAACTAGTTCGAAATGCATAGTTTTATTTATACGAAGACATTGAAGACCAGTTCAATTGGCATATAGAGATCGAAATAATTTTTTTCATAGAATAAACATACGTCTAATGTGCAGTTTTTTAATTTGTATTCTATGAAATAACTGTTCCAGGGAAGGCAGTATCTAGACCAGCAATAAAAGTATTAACGATATCTGTGGAAACTCTTTTTATCAGAGCCCGATGCTAGGCCTCTTCCTGGCGGAAGTTGTCATAAACAACACAGCCATTTCCTTATATTCCTAGTTTCTACTAAATGTTTTGAAATTGTTTCATTTAGTTTTTTAATCTTTTTTACCGGTAAATTGTTCCAATCTTCAATAATTCTTAACTCTATTTCTCTAAATTTCTGTGTTTGTGTGAGAGTATTTTTGTAGGTAATTACTAAATTAAATATGTGGTCTTTCTAAGAGAATATGAATGCAAGTATCAGCCTTGTTTTTCAAATTTTTAAAAGCAAAAATCGTATAAAGTTATGAAATTATTCGTTGCTTTCGAAAATTCTTCTGGTTAAGTAGAGCATTGATTCATAAACTAGAAAGTATTATTTAAAATGTAGCTTGCGGATTTTCGAAAATTTTAATAATTCTAGAAATGGTCACCGTTTCAAGACGTTTGCAAATATGCTAGACTGTGTGGTCAAGAATCCTACGGGACAAAAACTATAAGTCGAAGTGTTTCGGATGAAGCACCGAGCAAACGGATGCACGAATAAAGTAAGATCACAAGCATGGTAAAGTGAGACAAACTACAGTGGTCTTCGGTGTGAATTGTTTCGCTTGCGCTTGTGCCGATGTCGTGTTCTCTTGTTTACTCGCCACTACCTCTCTTTGTTTAAAACTGCAGCACTGCTTACCTGTGAAGCATCAACTAATCAGAGAAAAGCAGCTTAAATTAAATGTTAATAATCGATTTGTAAATTACCTTTCAGTTGGAATGGTAGACTCTCCCAATATCCAATGTCTACACCTTCAGACTTCTCTATGATATTTGCTTCTATTTGTAATTACAATGCTTTCAACTGTAATGCAGTCTTTCCTTTGGAAATGGCAGCTACATCTTTAGCTACGAATTCATGTATTCCTTCTCTCCTACCAACAGTTAAAAATGAAAGAAAATTAACGTCATTATAGAAATATCTAACCAAACATTCTATGTAGACATAATATAAATACTTACCAACTTCATATTCTGATCTTTCTAGCCTCCTCAACTTGTGTAACTCATTTTCAACAATTACTATAGTATCATTCCAGTAATTTATACTCTTATCAAGTTCCAATTCCTTATAAACTTTGATATCTTCGATTAAATCTTCTAAATCTTTTACATGCAAATCACGCAAGTAAGTGTAAGGTTCTCATTAATATATTTTGCGAGAAGGTCAGTTGGTTTAGTACAAACATCCTATATATGAACTCGAGATCTCAATCTAGCTTGCTCTAAATGAAACTGGTCCTCTTACCTTGCCCATTGTTCTACCTGAGCAGTTTGCTTTGCTCTCTGAAACATAGTCATCTCTTCTTCTCTCTGTTGTCTTTCTAATTCTCTTTCTTTCCATCTTTTCTTAACTTTCTCCAACTCCCTCTTATTCTCTTCTCGTTTACGTCTATCACTAATCTCTAATTCTTCTCTGCTAACACCTAGCAGACCTTCTTTCTCAAGCTTCTTCGACCACACAAATGTGGAGAGCAAGTCCTCATCGCCAAAGGGATTATCTGTATTTGTGTAATGTAAATAGTCATTATCCCAACCCATCTTTTCTTTACGCTTGCGTTCCTTGGCCTCTTCCTTCTTTAAACGCCTCAACCTTTTTTCCTCCGGTGTTTCTGTAGCCTTCATTAGTTCTTTCTGACGCTTTCTGTCTTCAACTTACTTCTGATTTTGCTTTTGATGTTTCTCTAAGAGCATGGTAGTATCTCCGGCGAATTTCTGTCTTCTTTTCTGAATCTCTCGTAATCTCTCTTGTGAAAGTACTTCACCATTCTTTCTTTTGCAGAAACACAACACTATTTATTTTTGCAAAATATTCTACACTCTCTTTGTTATTGTGACGTTTAACCTCTTAAGAAGCGATCAGTGGCCAGCGACGACTAAACTGTGGAGTAGTGCTCGGACTATTGAACTGAAGGGTAGAGATACTGCTTGTCTCTGATTGGTTGATGCTTCACAAGTAAGTAGGGCTGCCCCCACAGTTTCAAATAAAGAGAGGAAGTGACGAGAAAACAAGAGAACGCGACATCAGACAATCGAAACTCAGCAAATGCGAAACAAGTCACACCGATGATCACTATAGTTTGTCTTACTTCACCATGCTTGCGATGTCACTCTATTCGTGCATCTGTTTGCTCGGTGCTTTATCCGAAACACTTGGCGTGATATTCGACTTATAGTTTTCGTCCCGTAGGATTCTTGACCACACAGTCCAATATATTTGCAAACGTCTTGAAACGGTGACCGTTTCTACAATTATTAAAATTTTCGAAAACCCGCAAGCTACATTTTAAATAATACTTTCTAGTATATGAATCTATAAAATTTTGTTAATTCAGCTATCCCAGTATGTTGGGTATTGTCAAGTGTGACGGGCAGCAATCAATGCTCTACTCAACGGATAGGATTTTCGAAAGCAACGAATAATTTCTAAGAAAATATAAATGCAAGTTTCAGTTTTGTTTTTCAAATTTTTAAAAGTAAAAAACGCATAAAATTGTGAAATTAATCGTTGCTTTCATAACTCCTTCTCGTAGACTAAAGCATTGAGTGCTATCAGTTGCAGTTGACAAATACTGGAATAGTTGAATTAACAAAATCGTGTAGTTTACGGGTTTTCGAAAATTTTAATAATTAAAGAAATGATCGTTTTTTTAAGATGTTTGCAAATACGCTGGACTATGTTGTTGAGAATCCTATGGGATGAAAAGTACAAGTCGAATATTGCGCCACGTGTTTCAGCTGGAGTACCAGGCATACGAATGCGCGAAAAGAGTGAGACCATAAACAGCTAAAGTGAGACAAGCTACATCGGGCGTCAGTGTGGCTTGTTTCGCTTGTGGTTGTGCTGATATCGTGCTCTTTTGTTTACTCACCACTTCCTCTCTTTTCCTAGAACTGAGGGCAGCACTGTTTAGCTGTGGAGCGTCAACCAATCAGAAAAGAAGCCGTTCCTCTACCTACCTTCATAATTCTAAGGCGGTTGCCCCCACCTTGGCTTACTTTGCTGAGGCACTACAGTCATGTCTTACCGTGATACATACTATACTATGGTGAAGCATTACTGTATACAATGTGCAATCCATTAAATATATGTACACTATTTTAATACTTATACAAAGGAATAATAAATACATAAAAATTTTTTTGCTATTCTAATTTGTATTTTTATTTATTTCAGTATTTTTTTTCAATTTTTTTAGACCAATGCATTGCATTGTATAGACTGTCAACGAATACGGAGTATGTGCTCTCCCACCACTCTCCTTGACACTACATCCGTTAAACTTTCAAATCGTGTGGTATACGAAGTCGAGGCGAAGGTTTTCGAAAATTCGCAGACGATTTTTCGTCGTGTTCGGTGAATATATAATCAGTGTTCAAAATCTAGAAGAATACCGTCACTGAGCAACAATGTCAAACAAGATCCATTATTCGGATAAATATTACGACGATAAATACGAGTATAGGTTAGTTGAAATAACGGTAGCGTGTGTGATTGGATTTAGGTTGTGATTTTGGTCAATTGCCATTTGGTCAGTGCCATTTTCTATGGTTCCTGCAGATATATATGTATGTCATATCTATGATTGCTGTAATGTCGTGTTTTACAACTTCTGTAAAGAGTTTTCGTTGAACGGAAATGTAATCGCGGCATTATTTCGCCTGGTTTGACAATCATTCCTTTGTTCGTTTTTCGGGTACGTTTTCTGAGAATAAATTAGTGGTACGTGACGTACGTCCAGCATCCTGATAATAGCTACGCAACAAAGAATTTACTACAAAGAGGGGATAATATTAAGTGGTTGCAATTTATTTCAGCTCTACGTAGTGTTTTTTTAAAAATAAAATTAACATAGGATACTTATTAGATTCAAATCAAATTTTAGATATCTTTTTTACATGCATAAATAGTTCCTTTAATTATGTTTATTGATGTGAATTGTTTCTATATTATTACAATCTGGAAATATACATAGTAATAATATAGAATTTCGAAATATATTCATTTATTAATAAAAAAATATTTCCACAGGCATGTAGTTTTGCCAAAAGAGTTGGTGAAGTTTGTGCCAAGTACCCATCTACTCTCAGAACAAGAATGGAGAGCCATCGGTGTCCAACAGAGCCAAGGATGGGTACATTATATGATTCATAAACCAGGTAAAAATTATTTACCAAACCAAGTTGACTAATCTAAGCAATTCCTTAGTAATAACAAATCTTAATTGAGTTTCTTGTTTGTTCCAGAGCCACACATTTTGCTCTTTAAGAGAAAAATAACGACACCGGTACCGACACCAGAGAATTAAGTTTGCCATACCTATACCAATTTGTAAATAATATTTCAGATCATTGTTAATATTCATAGAAAAGCTTAACTATCATGGCAAACTATTGCATCAACTTTGAAAATTTAATTGGTATCGAATTACTAAAACAGCTACTACATCCATTTGAATTTGGTGAATCTTCTAAATTTAAAAGATACAATAACAAGTATGGTTTTTTTAAAATTCTTCGGTACAACATTGATATAGCCTTCTATTTTCATTACTCCTAAGTCATTCTTAAAAACAAAGTATTCTGTAAATATGTCTATAGGGTGTTTTAGTTATTAATCGCAGGTTACATAGTTCTTAATTTTGGAATTACCACAACAACTTGGTATTTTCATTCAGTGTAACAGAAGTTGGAAACATTCTAGTTCATTCTTTCTCAGAGAATCATAATTCTGCAGCAGAATTAACAGTTCTGTTCAGAATTTATTGAGTCAGGGACATCCTGATCTTGTGATTGCAGTGCCTTGCACGTATGTGCTAATTTTTTTATTTACTGTTAAGTTATACTTTAAGGTTTTCCACATGAATAATCATTCTTTATGTTAAATAAGAATGATGTATTGAAACATTTGTAAGACTTTTAAGTTTTAAATTCGTGAACAATGTGGACATTGATTTGAGATTCCATTACTACTAGTTAAGAATGAAATTGAGCATTTATTTTGTGTACCTTGCCATATAATGTGTTACTTTAATCAGGATTACATCGTCCATCGAATTTTCTTTGAGCGTAATTACATTCAGACCTAGCTCTCTATGTTTTTTTTTCAACTGCTATAGTTTAGTATTACTTGACTTCGATTTACTTTTATAAAACTAAACTATAAGTATTGTCAATTTTTCAATAAACGTTTGTAAGTAACAGTTCTTACTTTTATCCTTTATCATTTCAGAGATGTATTAGGTTTGGCTTTTATTTTAAAAAAGTACCGTTCTGTGTTTTGAAGCATAATAGCGTAGCATATACGCGTAACGGTATGACACCGTCAGGCATTCGTCAGCTCCTTCAATCCATTCACGCACAGCAAAAAGAGTGAAACAAATTTAGCCAAATATGCGAGGGAGAAGGGGCAGGACCGGGGGAAACAGAATAATTAAAATAGCCACGTGACTGACCTCAATCCAATTATACAAACATTGTCCCTAGCGGTCAAGTATTTCTCACACCAATTTTTGTAAATTGTACATTAATTAAATCCTCGTTGATGGACCGACGTGTATTGCGTACACACAGTTCGTTTCACTTGTATTACATAATTTCGTTAGCAGCGTCTTTTAATAAGGAAATAAGTAATCAGCGAAATTCTTTCGAAACCGCAAAAAAATTAATTTCCATATTAAGTATAATGTCAAACATCCAAGGGTACCGTCACAGAAACATTCGTCCATTGAGACACATTTCAACTAGTTCAAGCCCTACTGTTCATTAAATTCTATAACGCTTTATATTATATTAATACGTATTGTCCAGTGGTGGTTGACCATTTCAAATAGTATTACCTGCTCCTGTTGAAATGATACTGATTTAATTGAAGTTTAACGAACTGTTTATCGCAGCAGTTTTCTTATTGTGAACAGTTTCTTGTGGCGTTTCATAATGTTCGGAATTGATTGGCGCTGCCGTACACGGTGTTAGCCGTTCATTCAAGTCTCGGTTTATAACATGTTGGCGCGACCGCCAGTAGCAGGGGCACGCGTACACGTCGTGGCTGTGCCCCGGGTACATGTATGTATATGTGCAAAGGTAAATACATGTCGAGAAAGACGATAAATGGGGGAAGACGTGTACCCGGGAGTTCGGTGAAAGGGGGCAAAGGAATGGAGAACGCGTGAACAGATAAGTTGGAATAGTGGCGAATGTTCGAGGATGGGGGGTGGGGAGGGGCAGATACATGATCTCTGACGCACACATGCTGCATCCACGCGACGAAGGGCTCCGTTCTCATGGGCAAGCCGGCACTCCACGAGAGCGGAGCGCGCCGACAGTACCACGACTGCGTCCGCGGGAAGAACGACTTTTCGCGCTCTCTAAAACGCGAACGAAAGGTGCCTTGTACTCCTGATTAGAGAGGACAATTCAACGCGCAGACAGTGCAACACGATCGAAACTTGTTGATTCTGCCATCGCCACGGGATCGTGATAATATTCGAACCGCAGTGGGTAAGCTAACACAAACTCTTCCTTTCTTTTCTTCTCTTTTCTTTAAACATATACATAGCAAGCCTGCGATTTTACCGACCGAGTCGAGCGAAAATAATCTGAGGGAGAGATTCGATGATTTATATAATGAACATATCATTTGTTATTTACTTGTCAAGAATCATCGAGTAATAGCCGTTTAGTACAATGTTAGACTTTTCAAGAAGAAGTTTATCATCGTGCCGAGACAATAGTAAGGGAAATCCAGAAACAAGATATCGTCTGTTGCACGCTCGTGGTTCGCGATAATTGAGAGTTTTAAGTGGGAACGGTCATTAAGTTTTCTTATTGTGTATTGTGGGGTGTATCTGTTACTGTCGCGAAGGAATAAACGGTTTAATGAATCGCGTCTATATTGTGTTTCTGTACGACGGTACACGTGCACTACAGCTATTCAAACCATTCGCGCACCAACTATGTATGTCTAGCCGGCCTTTTTTCTCCGAAATTGTCTGACAGCATGATTTACCCCGAGGCTTACAACGTCCCTAAACGTAAAAAAAGAGACAACTCGTGTCGTTTCTTCATTGATGTAATAAAAATAGTTACGCAGTTCGTTAGAAGCAATTATAACTTCCGGTTTCCTTTTTTTCAAATGTGAAATACTATCAGACACACTCTCTCTCTCTCTCTCGCTACCATACTGAAATGGTACACTGTGACGTAATCCAACGTTCCTTCCGACCGGTGACGTTAAAATTCTAATTAAAAATGTTTACAAGTTCGGAAACGTTAGTATATAATGGCGCTACAATTGATATTCAAAATACTTCGTGGAAACGTTTCAATAAAACTTAGTGATCTCACGATTCTTCGAAACCGAATGTACTGACCAGATAAACAACGATTTATTGCTCGATAACAATCGATCGTTATTATTTATTATGTAACGAGCATACTATGAAACGTTAAGCGAATATTTGCGATTGTGAATATGATAAAGTTAAACTTTCTCCGCGAATGGCAAACAAATAAGCTCGTTTTCGAATGATTTCCGTACGACATTGTATACAGTAGTATTGGAGAAAGAAAGTAGCGACGAAATTGCACGCATTTATGCCAGTAAATACCACTATAGACATTTTTTTAAGTTTGTTCTGTCAAGCTCCTCGAATTTTCGCATAAGTTTAGGAAGATCGCGCGTCTAGTAAGACGAGCGCGCGCGCGCGCGCTCGCCGGAGAGCTACTTTTGCCTTTTGCTCTCGATCTCGACGATTCAAACAAGAATGGCACGTGTGTTTCGTTGCCATTTGGCCCCACTTTCGTTTACCCTCCCGGTGAGGCGTACGGTATATGTAGGTGAATCAACCAATCGCGCTCTAATAACCCGCTAAAGCGAAGGTCGATTTCGATCTCGTCCGTAAGTATCGTGTTTCCCGTTAGCCATTTCGTGAATCGTATTGTTGTTGTTGTTGTTTCCACGGACGTTACCCACGTTCCCACGCGGGCTATTGGTCTTTTGGATACCGTTGGAAGAGCAAGGATATCGACGGGCACCTAAACGCAAAATACAATGACGGATTTTTCTGCGGCACACGATTTGGTTGACTGATGGAACGCTAAAGGCAGATTTCCAGAACAGTTCGAACCGGTTGATACCAGTTGCTTCTAGATATACACACGCGTGTGTGTGCGTATGTCTGTGGCACATAGAAGAAAAACCTCTGTTCATTCACTATTTTTTATTAACCAATTTGTTCCGGTAATTAATCATCGGTACATCCGATCCTCTTCACGTGTACCCTTCTTCGGTAGTTTCCGTTTAAAGGACACGATTATCAGTCCTCGAGGTACACGCAGCGATTACTGGTAGCCGTTCAGTCATTGTTTCGCTTTTAATTCAGAAAAGATCGGAGATGCATACATTTTTATCCTTGATGAATACTAATCTATGTAAACCAATGAGTCAGCTTAGCGTTCCGCGGTGCAGTTATTACTAATGTCCGTGCGCTTGTATCGTCAATGATACGGAAAATAGAGATCTCTTTATGATCCGTATTTTTATTCCCCGACAACACTTTTGACCTTTATTGTACATAAGATTATACGGCCGCTCTCCCATCTTTACGTCATTTTGTCGGTCAAAACGTCCAGAATTTAAGCTCTGTCTTCAGCTCGAGTGTAATCTATACACTCGATACACGGATTGTGTAATTATATGTATAAAACGTTTGTTGTGCGATCGAACAATGTTAGAATTTTCTCGAGATCTGTAAGGATCGAGTATCACAGTGACCCATTGTTACACGGTGTTTCTAATAACGGACGCTGCTCGATTTAGGAAACCGGGCCAGGCTTGCAGCGTATAATTCCGATCAAACAGTTCGCCGGCGTTTTGTTTACCTTCGCGAAATGCAACAGCGTGTCACCTTACGATCTGTAGCTTGCCGCTTCGCTAGAGGCTGTTCAAATTTTTCCATTCTCAGAACAACGAAATATAACACATATATAGATAAACTAAACCGTAGAATCCAGAGAGATAATTTCGAACAAAGAATCGTGCCGCACACTTATTTCACCGTGATTGTTCCTTATACATTTATACCTAATATTATATTTATATTTATGTTATATTATTGTATTTTATATGTTATTTATTTTATATATTTTATATATTATTTATATATATTTATTTTATATATTTTATTTATATATTATTTATATTTGTATATATACCTGAAATTTCCGTCCGATAATGTCATTGCAAATTTCAATAGATATGCACGTATTCGTGTGAGACATATATTTTTGAAAAATGTTGCTCACAAATTGCCATCACGCTGGCAAGAGGTCATTAGTAACGACGGAAGTTATATTGTACAATAAATATTACTAAATTTATGAAAAATCTATTATATTTCCTTTCGTTTCTTAAACGGACAGAACCTTCCCGGCAGACCTACTAAATTATATTCTACATGCTGACACTGACAATTAGTATGCGGGACCAATAGAACCTGCACCGCAACGGGGCCTGCAGAATTGTTTTTCCTTTGCGCTTTTGCAATTATGTTGGATAACTGCACGGACTCGCACATTCTAACGAGAGAATATGCACTTTGCATGGCTTACGGCCAAGGACGTGGCTTAAAACTACGTGGAAATAATATTTTCAATTGTCGGCGAAGATATTCCAAGAACGGCAAAAAAAATCGACGCGTAATTGGATTCCATCACGCGTGGTATGCTTGGAAACAGTGTTTGAGGAGTCGAACAGACTTTTTCATTGAGGGATACAAGCGGGACAGACGCATCGATTGCGCGTCCCGTGCAACAGTCAACGGTCCATACAGAAAGACAATTAGCATAATCGGGTGCCCAGGCCGCTGACCGCTATGGTCGGTGCAATTAGTCTTTACCTACGCCGATTGTCCGCGAATCTCGACCGGCGGCAATGTTGTGCTCGCCTCGGCTTAACCCCTTAATGCACAGTTTTTTTTTAAAAAGGCCGGCCAAAAAAGATCGATTTCTTTTCATGTAAAAAAACACAATTTAGAACGTTGTCTTGGCAAGAAAATTACAAAAATACAAAAATAATCAAAATTTTTATTGCAATTTTGGATTTTGATAACATTGCAGAAAATAGTCGAATATTGTAATATTACACGCACATCGACTTCTTTTATCTTTCTTTTCGAATTCCCATTTCAGAAAAAATAAACATTATTATCAGTAAAAATATTTATTTATACTTTTAAAACATAAATAATAACAATACTAGTATTTATAAAGTTGATCAAAATTTTTTTATTTGTGTGATATATTTCGAAAAAAAGGTGCAGCACATAGTCCAACATTGCAACTATTACACATGTAACGACTCTCTTTTCTTCTCATTTTTTCCTTTGCTATCTCTTTTAGCACGACACACAGCGCAACATCTTGTGGGCGATTCTTTTTTTGGTGTTGGTGAAACATCGATGTGGTGGAATTTTGATATACTGCGCTCTTGTTCCATGGAAAAAGGCTATATTTTATTCTTGAATAAATAAGTGTTATAGCCCATGTTAATGATAAATATCAATAAAACGATTTTTTTCTTTGCTTTCACATTCTTATTTTCAATTCTCGATTATATTCGAGTGTGAAAAATTATAGCAGCATAAAATACAACGCCGCTCGAATTATCTCGAGTGTGCACAGTTTGGCCTGTTTAGCGCGCTCGAGTTAACTCGAGCGTGCACGTTAAGGGGTTAATGTCTGTTCGCCTTATCCGTACACTTACTTGTCTGTCTTATCACGACCTTTTAGTACAACGTGTATACAGAAATGTTTTAATCGTCGGAGATCATACGAATGTCGCGTGTCCCATAAAAAGCTCGACATAAAAAGATAAACAAGTAATCGTGGCATGCTCCGTTGGACGGTTCGCAGCTACAGAATCTGGCCCGAGGCCATATTTCGTTATCATATCGGTAGAAAAATTTACGCAATGCATTTCTGCGAATTACAATATTCGTCGGTTCCTCGTCCACAGAGACAACAGCGATGTACAGTTGGCCACAAAAGTCTTCTTCTCCCCACTATCGAAAATGGCAGACCCTGTTGACCTACTTCTAACTTGTTTTATATTATATATTTCCCAATCGTGTTCTTATATTCGGGTCCGGAACACTTTTACGCGAGCGTTGGAGGAAGTCGGAATTAATTGTAAATTGTTGCAGGTAAAATAACAGTAACAAGTATCGCTATACAAAGGTAAACGTAATTATTGTCGGTTCTTTCGTAATAACGGCGAAAAATAGGCGCCTTCATAAATATTTAAAAAGTTGTAGATTGATTATTGCTTTTATCAAATATGACAATCAATTTGGGAAACAACGAACGGAAACACGTTCGTTTCGGACGCTTAGGTGCGTCGTTAATTATAAGCATCGCGTAGTGGGATATTTATTTTTGCGATTAACAGTAGTTACGATTCTGGTTCTAGGATAAAAGACGGTGACGACATGGCGCACCCAAAAAAATTCAAGAAGTGTATGTCAGAGAACATGCTAACGATGCTGACGGTGGCCGGCGTTTTGGGCGGTGTTGTTCTCGGCTTCATTTTGAGAAACTCCAGGGACGAGCCGTGGACAAAACGCGAGATTATGTACATCCAGTTTCCGGGAGACATTTTTCTTAGAATGCTGAAGGCTCTCATACTACCGTTGATTGTCGCTAGCATTGTCAGCGCTATCGGAGGATTAGATCTCGGTCTATCGGGTAATTGCAACCTCAGATTTCTAAACCGTTTCGGACTGTTGAGGAAGCCAATTTTTTACTTCTCATTTTCATCGAATGACTGCTTTCAATTCATGCAAAGATTTTCGAGATAGCTTCGGACTAATCCGGATCGTTTGATAACTCTAAATATGTGCGAGACTAAAGATACATTTTTCACACCTGCAGTCCCAATATAACGGTCGAGATTATTGCTCGATGAACACGAGATTACATCATTTGTCTCGATTGCATTAGAATTTTATTTTTAAGTAATGTTTATCAGAAGTCGGTGGTTCATAATATTTGATTACTGCAGATTGTGGGAGCCTGGAAACTTGTTTACGCGAAAATCACGAAGAACGTGGGTTATTCAAATTTTCCAGCGTGATTCGATATAGCTTCCCGTGAAAGAATTCGCTAATAGAAACTTTAAAGTGTCTTATACAGATAAATATTAACTTTAGTTGTTACCAATAACTCGATGATTATTTCGAATCAATCATGTTCTACATTTAGAGCGAATATTGACCAAGTTCTTCTTCACCACCTCTCGTCCGAGAGCTGAAGAATCACGACATTTTCTCTTGTGATAAGGAATCTGTTAATTACGTATAAATCTTGATCACTCTGTGTGTACACGAAGTTGTTACGTTATGTACAACGAAGCGTCCCGTTTCTAAATGGATTTCTATTCGAGAGGAAAATGGCTCGAGATTATGATCTTGTTTCATTTTGCAGGGAGGATAGGTGTACGATCGATTTATTATTATGCATCGACAACCATATCCGCCGTAGTCCTTGGAATAATACTCGTGTTAATTATTAAACCTGGCGAGCTCAGCTCGCACACTTTAACTACAAATGAATCTGTAAAACCACCTAGGAATGTTACTACCGTTGATACTCTGCTAGATCTAGTCAGGTATAGTCTAATAGAAACTTATATATAATGAATATCATTAGTACGATTTCGTGATTGTCCTTTCGTTTTACAGAAATGTGTTTCCCCCCAATCTTGTACAGGCCTGCATTGCCCAAGTACGTATTCAACACCTTTCAATGATTTATCTCTCGGATATTTGCCAATTATGACTATTTCGTATTGATCTAACTCGAGCGACAGTTTCCCTGTATTTCAATTTACTATTGTTTCGTTACAGTACCGAACAATCTTAATCAGGCCAGAGAATGAAACAAATAGTAAGTAGAGATTGAAAACACCTGATTCCGGTACCTGCACAACACGATTCCGTGACGTCATGATTTTTTGCGCAGCTACCACTTTACAAGATTGGGAAATATCCTCCAGCTATGGGGATGGTACAAATACTCTGGGCTTGGTAGTTTTTGGAATTGTGTTCGGTATAGCCATTAGCAAAATGGGAGAGGCCGGCAAGCCTCTGTTAACTTTCTTTGATACTCTAGCCGAAGCATCTATGCTGATTACTAAATGGGTTATATGGTATAAAGTTCTACGATATGTATGTCCATCATTTCATGTCTACGTAAAGTATGTTCTAACACTGTCTTTGTTTGTAGGATCTCCCCGATCGGTGTTCTCTTCCTTGTTACCTCAAAACTCTTAGAAATTGAAGATATCGGTGCCATTGTCGGACAATTAGGTTTATACTTCGTCACAGTATTATTAGGCTTGATTATTCATGGTTGCGGTACTCTTTCCATCATATTCTTCATTTGTACCAGAGAATTGCCATTCAGGCTGCTCGCGAAAATGGGCCAAGTTTTGGCTACTGCGTTTGGTACTTCGTCTAGGTGAACTGTTTATAACATATATGTAAACTATGTAGTGTTATATTCATCTACACTTGAAATGATGAAAGCACGTTTGCGATTACAGCACTGCTACCCTCCCAGTAACGATACAGTGTTTAGATAACATTGGTGTAGACCCTAGAATCACAAGATTCGTTGTACCGATTGGTGCTACTATTAATATGGACGGAACTGCATTATACGAAGCTGTGGCTGCCATATTTATAGCTCAAGTTAGAAATGTTTCATTGTCTATGGGAAATGTAATTGGTATCAGGTAAATCAAGAAACTAAAAACTGAATTGAACAAGATAACAAAGACGTGGTCATTATAAGATCGTAATATATTTTTTTCAGTATAACTGCTACCGCGGCGAGTATAGGAGCTGCTGGTATTCCACAAGCTGGTCTTGTTACGATGGTTATGGTTTTGGACACTGTAGGTCTGCCTGCAGAAGATGTAACACTCATTATTGCGGTCGATTGGCTCTTGTTAGTACATTGCTTTCCTCTTTTCATTTTCTATGCTGGAAAATGTTCAGTTAAATTTTTATAACAATTGTAAATATTCGTTTACAGGGACCGTTTCCGGACAACAATAAACGTTGTATGCGACGCGCTCGGAGCTTATGTTGTCGAACATATGAGCAAAAAAGAACTTGAAGCGAATGTCACTCTACCAGAAGAAACAATTGAATTAGCGAGAGTAAGGAAAGTTGAGGCATAAATTGTCTCAACCTTTCCTTTTATTAAAATTTTGCCATGATATTAC